TAATCAGCAGCATGAAACATCAGCAGCATGAGATAATCAGCAGCATGGAACATCAGCAGCATGAGATAATCAGCAACATGAAACATCAGCAGCATGAGATAATCAGCAGCATGAAACATCAGCAGCATGAGATAATCAGCAGCATGAAATAATCAGCAGCATGAGATAATCAGCAGCACATATCACCAATCAAAGTGGTATCACAGTGATTCTCCTGGTTAGAGATTCATGAGTCTAACAGCCTCAGGGTAGAAGCTGTTCCTCAGTCTAGTGGTTCTACACTTAATGCTCCTCAACCTCCTTCCTGAGGGGAGTGGGACAAAAAGTGTGTGTGCTGGGTGAGTGGGGTCCTTCATGATGCAGGTGGCCCTCTTCCTGCATCTGGAGGTATAGATGTCTGTGATGGTGGGGAGACTGACTCCAACAGATTTCTGTGCAGCCTTCACCACTCTCTGCAAAGCTTTTCTTTCTGCAGCTGTGCAGCCTCCATGCCACACATTGATGCTGGAGCACAGGATGCTCTCCACTGCACACCTGTAGAAGGAGGTGAGGACTGAGCTTCCAGACCAGCTCGCCTCAGCCGTCTGAGGAAGTAGAGTCTCTGATGAGCTTTCTTCATCAGGCTGGTGGTGTTGTTGCTCCAGCTGAGGTTGTTGTTCATGTGTACACCCAAGTACTTGTAGCTGGAGACCACTTCCACTGCAGATCCTCCTATATGGGGAGTGGGGTGGGGCGGGGTTATGTATGTTTATTCTGTCTGAAGTCCACGACCATCTCCTTCGTCTTCTACACATTGATGTGAAGGTTGTTCTTCCTGCACCAGCTCTCCAGGTGTTCCACCTCCTGCCTGTAGCTGGACTCATGTTGCTGTTGATGCATCCCACCACCGCTGTATCATCTGCAAACTTTACAATGTGACAGCCTGGATGGGTAGCTGCACAATCATATGTGAGCAGAGTAAACAGGAGGGGGCTCAACACACATCCCTGAGGAGAGCCAGTGCTGAGGGTTATGGTGGAGGAGAAATTGTGGATCTTCACAATGTCTGACCGCAGGTAAGACGCTCATTCTGGCTTCAGGTGTAGCACCTCCAGTGAGTCCACATGACCCCCTGAAGTCTCGGATGGTCTTGATGTTTGTGTTTTGGGGCATATGGGAGTTGGACCTTCGTCTTCTTGTTGCTCAGCTCTGAACTCTTTGTTTATCTCGTTTCATGATCAGGTTCTTGTTTTGTGACGTCTCCTGCGCCAGCTGGCCACGCCCACTTCCACCTGCAGTTTCAGGTGTCTCCATCATTTTGATTTGTTCTGCAGCCTCGTGTCTGTTCAATCAAAACTCATTTCTTGGAGCTGCTTGTGTCTTCAGTTCAAACCTCCGAGCCACCGTGCAGCGCAGGAGGGTTTGGACAACTTCCTAAAAATTAAATTTAAATAAAAAAAAATGCTTTTTGTTGTTGTTCTTGTCAGAGGTTTGTTGGATCGGAACCATATGAGCCAGGTGTGCTGGTTCTGGATCAGAGTCTGCAGCTGCAGGAGGTTCGGATGATGATCTGGACCTGATCGGAACCAGGAGCTCCGGTTCGGTCCAAGTGAAGAACAGAACGAGACAAAAGACACAAGGGGGGAGGAGGACAAAAGGATGAGATGAAGAGCGTGGGATGGAAGAGGGGGGAGAGAGGGAGCACACAAACACGCGCACACATACAGAGGTGACGTCAAAGCGCTCGCGCCGCTGACCAGCCGGGTTCGGTTCAGCTCCACGCGCTGCTCCACTTTAACCCCCCGAGGAGGAAGAGGAGGAGGAGGAAGCTGCTCCTCGCGCGCAGCCAGGAGACGCACGGGACTGAAGGAGGGCAGGTGTCGAACGGAGCGCGAGGCGCGGATGGAGAGCGGGTCCGTGATGAGGGGCTCGAACACTCGACGTTGATCCTGGATGAAGTTTTTCCTCCGCTGTGAGACCAGATCCTGGATTATCCGGATTATTTTGGGATTTTTTTTTTTTCCTTTTCTTGGGTTTTTCGGGGGATCCCGCAGGACCAGGCGGGATTCTCCTCTGCTGCTGCGTGAATAAAAACCCGCAGAACCACCGGATCTAGCCACGCACGGACCGGTTCGTGGGGGTTTTTGTCAGCAGGACCCCAGACTGGTCCCCGGACCCCGGCTCCTCCTGACACGCTGATGGCGCGCGCGGCTGGAAGCACGTGAACCCTCAGCATGACGGCTGATCCGGGACCGGTTCTTCCTCTCGTCTAGGATTCGGTTCGGGTCTGGGAGCCGGACCATGACCTCCAGCCGCGCCTCGTCTCGTGCCACAACCCGAGAAGAAAGCGCGCGCCCTCGGTTGGATGCGCACGAGAGGACGTCGCCTTCCCAAAGCCGCTGATCCGACAGGAAGGGAGGGGGCACCGCGAACCGAACCGAGCGCTCAGACCAGAACCCGCGGCGGGGGGCGGGCATGGAGCTGTCCGAGGTCCGGTGCTCGAGCGCGAGCGAGGATCTGTACACCATCAACAAGACCCCCAGCAGCGGCGGCAGCGCGCGCCCCAAACGGCTGCTGTGGCAGACCGCCGTGCGCCACATCACCGAGCAGCGCTTCATCCACGAGCAGGGGGGCGGAGGGGGGCTCAAGGACGACCCCTTCGACCCCATCCAGGACGCGCGGAAGGAGTCCGCGGGCCTGGGGGACCGGCACAACAACGGCGGGACCAAGGTGTTCCCGGAGCGCGCGAGCAGCGACCTGGGCTTCCTGCAGCTGGACTGCGCGCCCAGCAACTCGGACTTCTTCCTGAACTGGGGCTACACCTACCGGGGGGTCATCTTCCCCACCCTGAGGAACGCCTTCAAGTCCCGGGACCTGGAGCGGCTGTACCAGCGCTACTTCCTGGGCCAGAGGCGGAAGTCGGTGGTGGTGATGAACATCCTGGACGTGGTGACGAAGCTCACCCTGCTGGTGCTGCACCTCACCCTGGCCTCCTCCCCCATGGACCCCATCAAGGGGACGCTGCTGGGCTTCTTCACGGGGGTGGAGGTGGTGATCTGCGCCCTGGTGGTGGTGCGGAAGGACGCCACGTCGCACAGCTACCTGCAGTACAGCGGCGTGGTCACGTGGGTGGCCATGGCCACGCAGATCCTGGCGGCGGGCCTGGGCTTCGGGCTGCTGGGGGACGGGGTGGGCTACGTCCTCTTCACCCTGTTCGCCACCTACAGCATGCTTCCGCTTCCGCTCACCTGGGCCATCCTGGCCGGACTCTTCACTTCCGGCCTGCACGTGCTGGTCCAGCTGCTGGGCTCCGAGAGCGCGCAGCTCTTCACCAACCAGGTCAGACCCGCTCCGCTCCCTCTGGGTTCTTGGGTCCGGCTGGTTCCGGACGGGTTCACACATCTGTGCACAGGTTCCAGTCTCAGTCCTGGTCTTTAGTTTTAAATCAGGACCAGAACCGGATGGGCTGCTGGAACTGAAACACCAGTCTGAAAGTTTCATCGACCCGAACCAGACCAGAATCAGAACAGAACCAGAACAGAACCAGACCAGAATCAGAACAGAACCAGACCAGAATCAGAACAGAACCAGAACAGAACCAGACCAGAACCAGAACAAAACCAGACCAGAATCAGAACAGAACCAGACCAGAATCAGAACAGAACCAGAACAAAACCAGACCAGAACCAGAACCAGACCAGAATCAGAACAGAACCAGAACAGAACCAGACCAGAATCAGAACAGAATCAGAACAGAACCAGACCAGAATCAGAACAGAACCAGACCAGAACAGAACCAGAACAAAATCAGAACAGAACCAGAACAGAACCAGAACAGAACCAGACCAGAATCAGAACAGAACCAGACCAGAATCAGAACAGAACCAGACCAGAATCAAAACAGAACCAGAACAAAACCAGAACAGAACCAGACCAGAATCAGAACAGAACCAGAACAAAACCAGACCAGAACCAGACCAGAACCACACCAAAATCAGAACAGAACCAGACCAGAATCAGAACAGAATCAGACCAGAATCAGAACATAACCAGACCAGAACCAGACCAGAACCAGACCAGAACCAGAACAGAATCAGAACAGAACCAGAACAAAACCAGACCAGAACCAGAACAGAATCAGAACAGAACCAGAACAAAACCAGACCAGAACCAGACCAGAACCAGAACAGAATCATTACTTAAATTGAGAAGTATTTCAGGAAACGGATCTTTAATGTTTAAAGATTAAGAAGTGATGAACTCTGAGGTTCTGGAGTCAGTTTGGGTCGGAGGCTGAGGTTTCAGCACCAGGAGCTGTCCACGCACACACACACGCACACGCACACACACACAAACACACTGCAGCAGTGATAACGGGTTCTGCGCCCCCTACTGGTGACTTTTATTAATAATTATTTTATTAAAATTAGACTTTAGTCCTTTTTTTAAAATAAATTCTGATCTCATCTGATTTTATGATTTTTCATCATCTGATTTTATGATTTTTCATTTCTTTCGGTTCTTGAGTCCAAACTTATAAAACGCACCAATAAATAAAAACTCATGTTAAATATCTATAAATAGAGATTTCTGCCACCGCAGTTGATCTGACGGTTCAGAACCAGATCACACTCGGTTATTAAAATAATAAAAGGATGTTTTGAAGCTCAGCATGTGTTTTATAAACTTTACGACGCTCACGTCATGTGACCAACGTTCTTCACACGTTTAATCCCGACTTATCGGGTCGTTTGGTGCAGAACGTTTCTGGAAACAACGAACCAGCTGAGGCCGAAGCAGGAAATCTGTTCGGTGTCTCGTTTCTGGTGAGAAGACGTTGAAAAGACTCGTCCGTACGTCGGCCCGGCCCGACTTCAACAACACTCAGACAGATTTACAGAAACCGTTTCTTTCTTTTCGACACTTTCTGTCCGTTTCAGGATGGAGGCGTTTTATTTTTCCTTCCTGTAACTCTCGAGTTACGACTTGTTTTCAGCGCAGCTCGGACACGTCCAGAACCACCCGACGGGTCGACGACTCGCCGAGGCCTCCGCCGCCGACACAGTGCACCCCATCATGACTCAGTGTGAAGCCCCGCCCCCTCTGGTTCTGTCGCTGAGCTGCACTCAGTCTGACCTCCCAAAGGTCAAAGGTCAACAGCTGTAAAGCAGCTGCTGATTTCAGAATCGATCCATAACACCTTTGATTGGACCATGAGAGCTTTTCCACTTCCTGTTTCCTTCAGAACGCAGGAAACTGGACGCCTCGGCGTGTTTTCAGCTTCAAACCGCCAAAAGAGATTCTGTTTCTTGCTCCGGGTTCTGAACAAACAGGTTTCAGAGGCAGAGCTCGGGCTAACAGCTAAAGGTGCCAACCATGTGATAAAAGCTAAAGAAGCTAACAGCT